TTTTATTAAATTTAATTAAGTTGTTGTTGAGTTATCTTTGTTTAAAGTTTTAAAAAAATTTACTTAGAAAAATTATGATATGTTTCTATTGACTTACCCCTATATGTTGTTTACTTAAAAAAACAAAAAAAAAGTTAAAATAATAATAAATTATATAATATAAACTAATTAAAAGATAAATTTATTTTCTTTGTAAAAACTTTACTTGAATTTTAATAAAGTTAAAGGCATGACCTTACTGTTAATATTTTTTAAAAAAAAGTTAATTTATTTATATAAACTAATTAAGCTTTAAATTAGTTATATAATTTATTTTCACTTTAGACTTTCTTCGAAAAAAAATAATAATAAACAACCAATTAAATTTATATAATTAAATGTTGTCATTATTTATTTTAACATTTGAAGATAAATAACATACATTACTTATAAACAAATAATATAAATTATTAAAAAATTTGCTAACTTTTGATTAAGATTTTTTTTTGGATTTATTTTTAATTACTCTTGAAATTTTATAAAAAGACTCTTCAAATGCTAAAGAATTTGCAAAATGATACTTAAAAATTAAACTGAAAACTTCTTTATTATTAAATATGTTTAGAAAGCAAATTTTGCTTAAATTTTACTTATAAACTTTGGATGTGTCGATCATTTGACCTACTATTAAAAATCATAAAAAGCTTGGTCAACTTTCTGAACCAGATCATTCTCCCAACCACCTTAAGGTTTTATGAGAAGAACCTTCAAATGCTAGAGAATTTACGAACTTTTACCCAAAATATAAACCGGCAACTTTTTAACGATTAGAAAACAAATTTTGCCTAAATTATATATATATAATTTAGGTACGTCGATAATATTAAAAATTTTACAGAAATGATCTACGTAACAAATCGGACGTCTGATATTAAATTCCTTTTTTGAGTTCATATCACTAACGTTAACGTTAATAGTAAATTCGGGTGACATCTGAACGATGAAATAAAATTCTTAATAGGGAACGTATTATCAATTTTTATATTATTACGACATTAACGTGACCTATTATGAACACAGATTTGGGTTTAAAATGTACTAGAAATGCAGTGTACTTTAGGGAACCCTTAATTATAATAAAATTTTTGTACCCATTGCAAGAATTTCGGTGACTATTAATTAAATTTAGCGGTAATTTAAATAAGTTTTGACAAAAATGCGTGAGACATTAAAAATGTTAATTAATAAAATTGTATTTTTTTTTAGCTAAAAACAAGGAAAAAACTTTAACAAAGATTTAAATCATTACATTGATTCGCATTTATTTAGTATATGTGAGGTTTGTTAGTGGATAGAATCAAGGGCTTTATTCAAACTAATTTAATCCAATCAATATTATTCGTGTGAAATGTGTGAAATGAAAATTAAACAGATTCATTTGAAAAAAGAGTCGATATAAAGGACGATAATTAAAGGTGGGATAAGAACTTTATTGGTTAAACACTGCAATAGAGAAAATCATAATCTGGAAGCGTATTACATATGTACGTATGTACTACATATAACTCCAATAGAGATAAAATGTGTATTTACCGTTATAGGAAACCTAATATTAGAATAGAAAGAAAACCGAAAAGTAAAAGGCAGCCTCTTATATTAGCCAAATGCTATGATATTTTCCCAAAAAAGTTAAAATAAATAAAATGAATAATCACAATTGTAAAGATTGCTTATTTCGATGAGCAAAATAATTGTGTAATTCCAGGATTTACCGAGATTGACTATTTTGACTAGTAAGTACTCACATATATCACGTACTCGCGCATATCACATACGTACGTATACTTTATTTTTCGTTTTGACGATGTTTGGACATTTTGCTAATTTATAAATTTATTTAAAATTTATTTTATTTAAATTTATTTTATTTAAGTTTATTTTATTTAAATTTATTTTATTTAAAATTATTTTGAATTATTTTAAATTTATTTCATAATTTACGTACCAGGTTGACGCCGGATGTTACACATCTATCACTATGATTATGTAGATACAATATATTCAGAACGATTGTTTTATGCACAATCGCAGCGCATGGTTACAACTATGATCAATGCAAAGGAACAATTAGTTAAATTAAATAATCACCTTGGATAAAGTTTACTATATATATGCATTACTACCTTAAAGATTGATTTGTTGTAAAAAAGGAATAAAAAAAAACTTTTTTCGGAGATATATAAGTCAAAGCCTGGTTAAAAAACATTGAATGAAGCCTTGAAATTATTCTCATTAGAACCTTTAATATATATCATTTTTTTAAGAGCATTTTTTAAAAGCATTAATGGATTTGTATACGAAACCACGGCTTTTCTGGGGTATCAAAATTCTACAACTTTTACTTGCTTTAACTTGCTTGGCTCTTGGTATTTACTCGACTTTTCTCGTTTATCGTTATGTCTTATAAATAGTTTTAACATTTGACTATTAATAGAAATAACGCAAATTATCGCGTTTTCAACAATTACACCAAAACAACCTATATCAAATTTCTTTGATAATTACAAGTAAGTCTTGTCATATATAATTTAAATTCCCCAAAAATGAACCAAAATTAAAAAAGACTTTTTATTTCTCAGGGGTTTCGGCAATTATGGAATCAAAACCTTCTTTTATATTGTAATACTGACTACAATAATAGGCAACTGTAAGTTAATTTAATTCCCACAATGTTAATAATTAGAATTTTTTAATTGACCTATTCGAAAATAAAAGGTTGGAATTTAATAAATTTTAATAACTTACGGAGAAGTCCATTGACATTTCGAAACATAGGAATTGACATATGTTTTGCCGTATTATGGATGATTTCAGGTAGACTTTACTGTTAATTCAATAATTAAGTCTCAATTTCATCTGATAATTAAAAAACTCAAAATTTTTTTTTTTTTTTTTACAGGTTTGACTATTATTTCTCCAGTATATTACGGTATAAATTCGTGTGATAGTGCAAGCCAATCAGCGCAAATATTAGGATGTCAAGCATATTTCGCAAGTATATTTTGCTGCTGGATAAGTTCGATTTTATTTATAATTACTAGTTTATTATCTTGGAGATTGGATTCGGAACTTCGGTTTAGGGGTGCAAGCGTTCTGGAAGTTTAATGAACATTACCATTACTGAATTGGTTTTTAAAGATAATTAGATTCAACATTATCATTTATGTAATATTATTATGTAATAATTAATATTAATTTAATTTGTTAAAAATGTGGTTTTTTTAGGTATTATTTGTAAATAGAAAAAAAGATCCAAGTTTTTTTTACATACTTTTGTGGTATTTATTTATAATTCACCAGATTAAAAAAGTCTACCGTGTGATCCATGTGATTTTATTACTATTTATTATTCTTGTCAATGAACTTAACAAAGCTAACATTATTGAAGTAACCTGATTATTTGTTATTTATTTTTACTGCTCGACAAATATCGTTATACCCAAAAAACGTAAGATATGTCTTTGGGTGTGCGACAGGTATTTAAGTGTGATCCTTGGCACCATTGCTCACATGATTCGCTCGTATTACTGCATTGTCCAATAATGTATTGTTATATGTACTGTACATACGTATTTACCGTTACTCTTAGAATCTGATTTTCGGTTACTCAGAAATCATTTGAAATTAATCCTTTGTAAAATTTAAAGCGAGAGACATCATTTAATATTTTTTTAATCCAGAAATTCACTTGTTCATACGTAGAAATATTCAATATAGTAATAACACTAGCAAAGTTTTTGGTTAAATTTCATTATTTGAAAACCTTTTAGGTTGGATATACATGTAATCCCAAATATCTGCTCAAAAATTTTCCCGATAACATTGTCTTGCGCTCATTCAATAATCAATAATGACAAATAGAAAGATAATTGTCTCATTCTTGTTGTGGTGAACTCTCGTTATAAGTTATTGATTTCACTATATAAAGAGTATAAGTTGTAAACTTTTTACTGTACAAGTTACATCAACTTAATTGTTTATGAAAGCAAAAGGCTTTCATCAATTTAGCGTTCTTGGCAAAAACTCATCAATATTAAAATTTTATACTACTATGTTGTGTAAATAGGTACACAATAATTATATGTTACATTATATGTACCACGCGGTAAATTATCTGCTACAAGTGACAAAACATCTGCATTTTTCGGTAACTTTAGAAAGAATATATTTATTAACAAAAAGAATAATACATTTATTATAAATACGAGTATATATAAACAGATGGGTCTCACCATTAACGTTTGAAAAAAAGAAACCATAAATTATTATAAATATTATATTAAAATGATTTTACGCGTATTTCGAATTTTTATTATAGCAATCATTTTTCTTACTCTCCCTTCTTGCATTCATTCTCAATCTTCACGAAATTTATCAGTAGCATTACTTCTTCCACATCAAATTCATCTAAAATCAACTTCTTTAACTTCTAATTCTGCATTAGCATACAAATTTTATTTTACTACAAATCATGTTCCATTTTTTATGATTAATGCATTTAAATCTCAAAATGACACAAAAGCTGCATTTGATTTCACAGTAGCTATTCTAGGATTGGTTGAATATAATGATACCATAGGAATTAAGGATAGTAAAAGTTTATATAGTTTTATTGGAAAAGATCAATTGTGGAGTAATATTAAAAAAACTGAGGAAACTAATGGATTAAAAGGAATTGAAACTACTTTAATCGCTCATGATCTTCCAGGAAGTATTGATGTTTTTAATGCTACAATTTCTGCTTATGCTACTGGGTACGTTTATTTTAAAAAAATTTTAAATGTTTTGAAGTTTTATTATTATTATTATTATTATTATTTATTTTGTCATTTAATTGATTACTTCTTTATAAAAATTCCTCTTAATTAAGAAATACGACAACAATAAATAAAAATGGAATTACACTAAAACCATCTCAGATAAAATATTCTTTTGAATTTAATAACTTTCCATATATTTATCAAAATTCTAAAATTTCTATAATCAAAATGATATTCTCTGAATCTGTATTTACTTATAATAATTCAACTGCTTACGCATCTGATTATGGAAAATTCGAATGGGATCCAACAATTTTAGCTGATTCAAAGAAAGTTGATATTCAACTTGATCAAAAAATCATATTTCAAAAAAATCACACTTTTGAAAATATAACTGCAGATAATTCATCATCGGTTCAAGCTTATTCGACTTTAAAAGAGATAGCATTTAAGGTTCAAGCTATACAACCTAAAAATGTTTTATGGGATCCACAATTTGATATTAATGATCCTAACGACAATTCTGTTAATAAAGGTAATACAAACGACGCTTCAAGATTAATTGGATTATTTGGTGTTGATTATGTTATTAGAAAAGTGGGTTTGGTTTTAACTATTATTGTAACAAGTGGTTTCTTGTTTATCTGAGTTATCTATCTTGTAGTTTCTTGTTTATCTGAGTTACCTATCTTATAATTTCTTGTTTATCTGAGTTATCTATATTATAGTAACAAATGGTTTATTGTTTATCTGAGTTATCTATATTATACTTTCTCAACCTAGTATCATAATAATTTTTATTTAAACAAATAATATATATCAAAGATTGTTATTATTATTATATGCCAATTCCTTTTTTTGGGTTTGGCAAGTATATTCCATATACCTGTATACGTTTATAATAATTTACGCACTCATTTCTGCATTTATAATATTTATAATTATAAATTTATAAGATTTATAATATTTATAAAATTTATAAGATTTATATTTATGATCTTACATCAATCTTATAAACACTCATAAGAAGAATATAGTTTGTAATTTATCATTTTTATTTAATATTCATATTTCATTCCCAAGCGCACTCAAAAGATATAAGAGATTTTGCCTGCATAATGATCTCTTAAATCAATTGAGACGTTGCTCGTTGTACAAATTGCAAGATCTTTTGTCATACTACGAAATGAAAATAATATAATTTTAATTCAATATCATTTATAGAAAAAGTGTATCAAAAAATGTGTAAATTACCCTTATAAAAATCATTGTGGTCTCGATATCCATTTTCCTAATTTATTTGCAGTATATTTACTACTCTTAATAACTCCTGCTGTTAATATACCTTTAATACTTTGAACAACTGCTGGTCGAAAAATTATTTCACGCAATCCTGTAATAATCATAATTCATTTTAAATGAGAATTCATAATCGATGTCATTATTTTTCCTAGATAATTATAAATAATTTGTTTTACCAGTCTTGACAAATTTCACATATTCATCTGAGGATGCTATACCCCTGTAAACTTCCTTCTCATCTTTTCATCAGAATAAAAATAAACAAATTATTATAACAAAGTATTTTTAAATAAAGTTAAAATTTACTAAATATTTTCACTTACCTGATGGTAAAGTTTGTCCTTTTCTAATCAAATGAAATCCATATTGTTCTCGGATTTTATTTCTTAATACTCTTGGTAACTTGCTCAATAAATGTGCACGAGCTTTGGGATTATCGTCTTGCTATTTAATAACGAGAAACTTCTGTATTGTTACCTTTTCGATAAAAGCATAAAATTATCACCAATCTTTGTGTTTATATATGGTAACATATGGCAATCGGCTATACCTGAAGTTTACCATTGTTTACAAATGAAACATTTGGAAACCCTTCAATCAATGGTTCATATAATATCTTAAAAGTATGTGCCTGTTTTGAAACTATGTTTTTTATTTTATGTGGATTCTCTCCAATAAATTTACGAAAATCACCTACAAAAAAAGAATGTCAATAGGAATATATAAAAATAATAATAATAATAATAATTCGTGAAAAAAATCAGATTTATTTTTAACCTTCATAAGAAATTCCCGCAATTGTTGAGTAAAGTTGTTCCTCCGAAAAATCTTTTGGAAGCATAAGTAAAGCCGTTCTCAAAGCATTTGCCAAATTTACTTGTTGAGATAAACGAACACGTGCATCATCTTGTAATATTTTTACCTAACGATAATTCATTTTACATAAAAATTTTTTTTAAATACATATTTAGAATTAATTTAGTTAATATGTCAATATGAATTTTATGTTAATATGAATTTTTTTTATATTAAAAAAAAAAATCATAATTATAATTACAGGTTTGTGCATTCTTCCTGCAACATAAAGTGTTTCCCAATCTATGAGATCCTTACATAATTTATCAACTGAAATTACTCCATATTTAATTTCCTATATTAAACGACAAAGAAATTATATAAAAAAATCAATTTTTGAAATTTTTTTTTAAAAAAATAAGAATAATAAAATTCCCATTAATTTTATCAAAAAAAAAAAATCTTTTTTTTTTCATACCGTTCCATTCATTTTCACCTGTGGATTAAAATAAATACCGGCTCCAAAATCATTTTGTAAAATTGATACAGCTCGGCTACCAAGTGTTCCCATAAAAGAATAATGATTTCTATGTCTATTTAAATTTAAAGAATGCCAATGTTGAGGATGACTAACGGCAAAGATAAAATCCACCATCGGTTTAGGCTAGAAAAATAATTAAAAAAAAAAGTACACAAAAATTTTTCTTGATGAATATTAAAAAAAAAAAAACTACATTTAAAAATTATTATTATTTTTTTCTTTTTTTCAAATGTTATTTACGTTGTAAAATTATACCTCTAATTCATAACCTTTTTGTGGAAACACACCACTACCATATGCAAAAGAATATCTTATAGGTGCATTGAAATTAAATAATATTTTTTTTAAACTTTCTTTAAATTCATCATCAATAGGTAAATGTTGATTTTTTCCGAAATTTGGTGAAAGAGGGAATGAATTTTCTTCTTTATTTTGATGTTGTGAACTATCATATGGTGTACTTTTTGCCGACTCAGGGGAAGTAGGACGGGCAAGACTGACTGCTTTAGGTAAAGTAGTAGATAAAAATCTAACTGAGGAAATGTTTATAAATTTGGTTGATTGATGGATTAACATCATGAATTTTTTTAACGTTAAGCAGAAAAGAACTGTTTCCTAACGTTTGTCTGAAAATTTTCTGGGTAATTATTTAATTAGTGGATCTGCAAGTTTCAGTACATATCGATTTGAATTAATACCGATATGGTCTATATGAATTAATACCGATATGGTCTATATGAATTAATACCGATATGATCTATTATGTTTTTTAAACTTTCCTTCAAAATTAACATTTATACTTTACAACTTAACTAATCTTCTTTATATATAACAATCACTTATTATTATCTTTAACATGGATTATTTTTTTTAACTCCTAAACTAAAAACCTTTGAAGTATCTATTTTTAAAAATTCGGTTATCATCAAATTATGACCGAAAAAGTCACGGGGAAGCCTTTGTCATGAGACCTACATGAGACCCGAGTCAGGGACACGGAATTAATTAACGTTAAGAAAAAAATAATGATAATCTCGGCTGAAATTAAAATGTTGAAAATCGTCCGCGGGTACCCGAATTGGTAATGATAGAATGGTGTTCTCAAGCACTTCAGTCAATAAAATTTTTAATTAGTAGGAAAAGTAGGAAATTGAATAAACCAAATAAATAAGTTATCATTTCAATGAATAAAACCTGGAGGTTTAAACCATCATTTTTTATCATAGAGCTGTTATGATTGGCTAAAATTTAGAACCCGTATTTCGCACAATGATTTTTAGCAAGTTGTTCTTCATTGACCACTCAATTAATCGTAATAATTTGAGCTTCTCAATCACTAGCTAATCACATTGAGGGAGTTGCTTGAGAACACCCTTAATTATTATCCATTGCTTTGACGGAATATTAAAAATCCCTTGCGGTTCCAATTTAGAACACTAATCATAAGCCAACCATTTTATATCACATAGTTTTGATTTTGAAAATTTTCCGTGTCTCTGACTAGAGCATCCAGAATTATGATCCGGTCATCTTAAAATTATGCGAATTATGCGGACCTAGAGATTAGGGTTAAAAATCACATACTATAAGACAAACGTTTATACAGTAGGTATTCCAAAATATGGACTATGAAACCGTCTTTTACATTTATAAAAAATTTCTTTATGAAATAATATTTTCGAACCTTAACCAAGAAAGTTTTTACTTAGAAATATTTGTGTGGTAATTCTACACATGTCAAAAATTACAATCACGAACGCAGTTGGTATAAAATTTTGATTACCGAATTCTGACGATTTTAATATCGAATGCAAAAATGATTCAATAAAAAATTTTAAGTTATTAATATTCTATCATATTAATATAATTGAAATTATTTATTTAGGCAGGAAAATATACTTTATTTCTTCTATTCCATGTTTTGGAAGACTTTTCGCATGCTTCTATCATTTATCATTTTTTGAATCAATATTTTTAAACAAAGTTATTTTTATTTTTATTATAATCAAAAGACTTTTCAAGATTATGTATATGTCCAATAACCTCTATATGAACAAAGTACAATTAATATACTGTATATTATACATCGTAAAAGGGTCTTTTTTAGAAATTTCTGAAATTTCTAGTCTTAGCATATTATTGAATTCGTATTCAAATAATCAATTGGTGTTAATGTACGTATTAACTCTTATTTGGTTTGTTCAGCTTCTATAATGAGAGAATAATTCGAATTTCATTGAATCTAAACTATTAAAATTTTAATTAATGGGTATACTAAATAAATATACCTTTAAAAAAATAAACATCCATTTTTCAAGAGGATTGTTCTATGTTTTTGATAGTATGTGTATTAAGATTTCCCGCTATTTTTTGAAATTATCACGTCTTGCATTCCCTGAATCTATGCCTCTTTTAACAGTTTAATACAGATCTTTTTATTGTTGATGTTTGATGTATAGCAAAAAAATTTTCTTTGATATTTAATATATGGAAAAAGAAAATCAAAGTTTCTTTTTTTTCAGATTATTTACGTATTAATAATATAGAATCGTCATATTAATCGTTGAAACTCCGTACGTAACTTATCTTGGTGGTGATTCTAGGTTCGTGTAGTAAAATGTAAACTTTGCGTTTCAAAAAATAATCCTATTGATCTTATTATTTCGACTTGCAATAATCATTATCAGGTTTAGAAAATAAAAGACAAAATTACTAGCCTATCAATCTGGTACACATTATCTGTAACAATAGACTTGAGTTGTAAGCTAGTAAAGTCCACTATGTAGTGTGAAATCCGCTTTTGCATGATAAAAAAAAAAAGCGCATTTCTCCATAACATGATCTAGTCTACCTCACAACTCAGTTTTACCCATTCCCATAAAGTTGTCTTTGTCATTTTCATAACAAATTTATTATATAAAATGAATAAAAATGTTTAACTTTATTTAGTTGGCATCCTTTGTAAGTCTTCGTTTACTAATTTTACATTCATCAGTATCGCCAGTTTCTCCACGTTTTCTATTCAAAATTTTTTACCAAAATAGGTTTCGACTAATAATAATACTCCGGAAAGCAAAATGTGAATATTATACTTTCATAGACCTAATTGAATTATCTAAAGTTCTTATCTGATTCACAAAATTCACTGAATTTGTGAATGGTTTTAACTTTGTTATTCAACAAATGTAGCTGTCCTAATGTCATTGTTATTCAACAATGTGACTGTCTCAATGTCATTACGTTAATCATCATAATAAAAGGTGCTGCAAGTACAGTATGAGATTATAATCGAGTCATTCATTTTATAAGAAAATTGCAATATCTATATATATATATATAATTATGTACATGTTCGTTATATAAAACTAGACAATTGACAAAATCTAAGCAAAAAATATTCTATATAAGACCATATAAAGTTGATTTTTCGGTTTGTATAACTCGACCAACCCGTTTTTTAAATGTTTCAACAAAAAAATATTTATATATATGTTTTTTTTAAGTGTCAATTGTTCTATTTTTGCCATTTACTTTTTTTCGTCATTTTTATCCGACCATCCATGTAATGCAAAACGAAAAATTATTGTATGACCTAATAAATAAATAAATAAATAAATAAATAGAAGACCCAAATATTGCACATTTCCCAACGAAGATGCATTGGCAGCTTGCAAGTTTTTTTTATGATAGGTCAAAAAGACTTTTGAATAGTTTCTAATTGTGTTATTTGTTCATCAATTTCAATAAATCTAAAATAAAAAGTTTTATAAAAATAATAATCAAATCCTTTAGTCAAAAATAAGTAAAAATAAGTTATTTACCTTCAGCTGTAAAGGTGTATTTTTGGGTTACGTATCTTTTATCTAATTAAAATTATAAAACAAAAATTTGCTATAATTCATTTTCGGAAAAATTATATATGATAGTATATTAAATCTTACCAATATTAGTGGTATTAATTTCTTCTTTAGGAGCATGCAATTCTTTACATATTGAATCATCAATTTCAATGCTACCATCGTCTTTTTGTTTAGATACAATTTCTTTATGTTTATCGGGAGAAGCCGATTCTTGAACAACAGAAATTGCAGCTTCTTTCTTATGGTCTTTTTCAACCTTTTTGGCAATATTATCAATGATATATTTATCAGTGCAATCTAATAATTCTTTTTCAGCATCAGCGTCTCCAATTTGATCAGAAAGGTATTCACGAGCTTTATCATGTTTATCTTCCCATTGTTTTTTATGATGTGGTGCAGCAATATTAAGGTAGCTAGTAGCAAGTGCTGTCTTCCACCATGATTCTGATTCTGGAGATCTAAGTTTTGGATTTTGTGTGTATTTTTTCACTTCAGTTACTACATTGGTAATTGGAACATCTATTTCTTTACAAATTGATTCGCTAACTTCAAAAGATCCATCATTATTTTGATTAGACACTACATCATTGCATTTCTCAGGTGTGGTAGACTTTTGTACCTTATCGACTGCATTCCTTTTTTTATCTTTAATCACCTTCTTAATACAATTCTCGACCACAAAATCATCTGTGCATTCTAAAAGTTCTTTTTCGGCATTTTCATCGCCTATTTGTTTTTTGAGATATTCAAGGGCTTTGTTATATTTATCTTTCAATTCACCTTCATGTTGAGATGCAGCTTTCTTAAGATATGAAATATTAATTGCAGTTGCAAGACTTGATAAGAGTTCAGGTGATAAAAGTTTCTTATTAGTGATTTTCTTTTGAATTGTACCAATAATTTCTTCTTTAGGAACATCCAGTTCATTACAAACTGTTTCATTTAATTCGATACAACCATCATCTTTTTGGCCCGAAACGATTTCTTTGCATTTTTCTAGAGAGGCTGATTCAACAACAACGAGTGCCTCTGCTTTTTCATGATCATCAACTTTATTAAACCCAACGGCTTTTTCAATATTATCTTCAAGTTTAGCAGCTGCTTCATAAAGACCACTGAAAAAGCTTTTTGTGTCTTTAGGTTTAGGTTGTTCTTCTTTTGGCACCTCAGGTTCATTTTGATCGATAACTTCATCAAGTATTTCTCTAGTAATAGGTTTGGTACTTTCTAAATCCGTGTCACGGATCAAATGTTCTGATAACCCGGCAATACGAAAAGTTAGTACAGTATAATATGTAATCTTATTGTAAATAAACTCATGGTTACCTTGGTATGGAGCATCGAGTTCAA